TTTAATTATCACTAGGACTGAAACGCAGCTATCAAATTCAACTCTAATGTCGAGTTAGTTTATTGCGAGAAAATCCGACCGAATTTTATTACTTGTACTATAGGTTATTTACGTGACCTTTTTGTGTCTACGAAAATATTTGTCAGTGGCTTCATTTAGAAGCAATGACTTATCGTGTTAATAATGACCTAACTATTAAAAGTACTGCTAAGCACTTAATCGTTGATTAGTTTGAAGAATTGCAATAACCATAAATCGAACAATATTATACTTCAAGAGTAATATACATCCTAATTCTTGACTGAATTCTAATAACCACTTTACATATTGAATGCAGCATTCAGCTGACACTGTGGAGGAATATTCTAGGCATAAACTATAAACAGAGCTAAATGGGGAATTGCATAATTGAAGAGTTTGTAAGCACATGTACATGAAAGAGTCAGATTAGGCGTGGGGAACCCAAACTTTGGACTGCAAAAGGAAGATTGTCATTTGGCAAATTGCTCGAAACGAATTTAACTTTGTATGATTGATCGAGGATTATTAACGTTAAGACTTTATGAAAGTGAGTCATAGACTTCGGACTATGAAAGGTGATGCAAGATTTTGGCTCGAATTTGCATTTTGGAGGCGCGATTTAGAAATGACGCATTTCTCTATAAAGAATTAAATCATGGCCATTGAGGATTAAGATTCACCATGGCATTTGATCCTTGCTTCTCTCATTTATTAGGGTAACGTCGAACCCTATCTCTCTCCCTCTCTACAAAGTTAAGCACGTCTTTCTCTCTCAAAATGATTACTATGTGTATTGATTTTCTTTGTGAAAACTTCTAATTTCTTGTGGATAATCATTGTGTTGTAGTCTGAATTGAGTGAGAAACTATTGTAAGGAGCGAGCATGAGCGTGGTATAATTTTCTGTTATACCAGATGTTTGTAATATGTGAATCACATAAAGTGGAATACATATATACTGAAAAAGTAAACCGATGTCGTGGCAGAGTGCACCAAACGGAATGATGCATCGACCTTTGGGGTTTGTAATTTACTAATTGATTGACATGGACACAGGTTGGGTGCGGGGACTTAGCTCCTGTTATACGGTACATGGGTATTTTAGATTTTTCCTAATATTTTGTACGGTATAAGTTAATATATACGTTGTAACCCTATTATTTTTGCATAGTGAAAATCATAGCCACTTCGTTTTCGTGGATGTATGTCTATTGTCGAATCACGTAAAGAAAGACAATACGTAGATTTTCATTTTTGCCTCACATGACACAACACCAAGATACATCAAGAATCCATTAATAGCAAGTATAAAAGGTAGTGGATAATAGCCATGGATCGAAGAGGAAATGAGACCACTTAAAACAAAATTGAAGTTGGGAATTAGTTCCCAATCTCAAAAACGGAAGTCTGCAGTAGATAGTAAGTGGATTTTTAAAGTTAAGAGGAAACACTGCATCTTAACCATTAAGATTTAATGCAAGATTACTAGTAAAGGCTTTACTCAAAAAGAGGGAGTATGTTACAATGAAAATTTTCTCCTACTGTTAAATGAACTAATTACGAAAATAAAATGAGATTTATTTTCAGAATTTGATACGGAAGATTTTACGAACGAAAATATATTTTTTAAAAGTTCATTTTCAACTATACATTCTTCCATAAACTAATGTTATAGAAACTCAAAAAAATTTCTTATTTTT